GAGTGTGCCCATCAATATCTTGAGAATGACGGATGTGAAAGGTGTCGAATTCTCAACAGCAGCAGAATGCTTGGTGACCCCCACACAGAATGAAATTGAAGGCCGCATTTCTGAGTTTGGAAATGGGAGAGGCCCAGCATTTATAACTGACCCCTTCATCCAACCTCTTCTCCAGATCAGACGACTTTTGACATGGGTAGGCAACACCATACCTTTGTGCAGAGAGATTCATGGGAAACCTAGCCTCTGTGACATGCAGCAGCTCTCGACACCATCATTAGTGACAAGATGAAACTTGCCGTGAAACTGTCTTCTGGATGCCTGTTGTAACAGCTTCACGTTAACCTGCCTGTGCCACTGCAGACATGAAGAAGATACCCTAATTTTCATGGTGGAGGGAAGTATATGGATGAAGTCAATCCCATCCCGAATATCAGGACTTTAGATCTTTACAAGATTAGCACAAAAGGCAAGTGGAGCTCTCTCCAAGCTTTTATAGACACACATGCATTTTGGAAGCATTGCAATGTGTGCACTGCCCTCACTGGGGAACAGTTCTCAATGTGGAAAAGTTGTCAAGTGTTACAGAGAAGGAACAGGCTTTCAGTTAATCCCAACTTGTTAGAAAGGGTATGAGGGTCTTCTGGACACAAAGCTTGTGTGACCCCCACATTCAACCCACCTTTACATCAAAGCAGTTCAACACTCGTGTGAAGACTGGACAGACTCTTAGCAAATTTGTGATATTTAAGTCATATGAAACTCAAGAGAACACAAGGGGTTATCTGGTGCAGTGAGTATCAGGAGGCAGGGGACTATCTGGAAGCCAGGACTCAGAGGGTCCCTGGTACAGAAGGTAGCTGGACACAGGGGCATCTAGATGCAGGGAGTATCTGGATGGAGGAGAGTACTGGATGGAGGGAGGATCTGGTATAAGGGAGTATCTGGATCAGAGTATCCTGGATCGAGGAGAGTATCTGGATGGAAGGGAGTAACTAAAGGAGTATCTGGATGGAGGAACTATCTAGAAGGAAGGAGTATGTGGATAGAGTAACTGGATGGAAGGGAGTATGTGGCTAGAGAAGAGTAAACTGAATAGAGGGAGCACTGGATGGGAACATCTGGTTGGAGGAGAGTCTGGATGGGAGGGAGTATCTGGATGGAGGAGAGTGCCTGGATACAAGGAGTATCTGGATGAGGACGTACCTAGATTCAGAGAATATGTTATTCAGGGGATACTGGAAGCAGGGGTATCTGGACTTGGGGTGGGTACAGAATGTAGGGGAGCTCTGGATGCAGGGAGCACATGGCTACAAACCAGAATCTTGATGGAGGAGCATATCGGATGCGGGAGCACAAGGATTTAGAGGAGTATCTGGAAGCAGGAGCACCTGACTCAGGGGGCACCTGGATGCAGGAGATATCTGGATGGAGGACAGTATCGGGCTGTAGGACTGCCTGGATTCAGACGAGTATCTAGAAACAGGGAGGTATCTGGACTTGGGGGGTAACCTAGCTGCAGGGAGAGTATCTGGAAACAGGGAGTATCTGGATGGAGGACAGTATCTGGCTGGAGTATCTGGGTGCAGAAGAGCACTGGTCCCGATGTGGCAGGACAGGAAAAGGAAAAGAGGCCTAAAAGAAATTTTTGAAATAAGAGCTGGCAGTTAGGCTGAAATTCTGCCTTAAAGCCCCAGAAAAGGAGAACTTGGAACCCCCATCCCATTAAATGCCTACAGCCTTCTTTAACATCTGTCCCTCGGCAAAACATTTAGGTAAGAGAAAGTACTTGGTTCTAATTTCTTTTTATTAGTCTGACATGAAAAAGAAATGTCCTCCAATAAAAGAATACTGAAGAAACAAATTGAAGGGCTTACCTTATTTTAATTAAAAAAAGGTCAAGGCTACCGTGGGAGTTTCAGACGTGCTCAATGCACACCTGATTTGTAAACAAGCGAGATTCCGGCTAAGGGTGCCTCGGTGCGGTTGATATTTGACTTATAGGGACGTAATAATGGCAAGCCTTTCACCAATCGCATGGGAAACCCCCCTGGGTCTTGGAGAATGGGGGTCCAAGTCCCTGTCCCCATTTGGATGTAAAATTAATCGTTAGTAAACACATCCACCCAGCGACAACAAGCAAAGAAACGTCTCAAGATTAAAACAAGAATCCGCCGTGAAACAGAAGGCCTCCGTCTCTGCTCTCCAACCGCTGTTCTTTTGGGAGAAGCCTCCAGCAGGTGTCCTAACCCTGTTGCCAACAGCTGGGCTTGCTTCCGCTGACAATCTTCTATTTCTCTAAAAGAGTACGCTGAACTGTGGGAAGCAGGGAGAAAAGAAAGTCATTCCCAGTTCCCTGAGTACTCAGGTGAACATAACTTCCTAAAACTTTCAGGAGCCAGTGATTTTATTTTCCGCATCAGAAAATGGGTCCAAAGGTCATGAAAAAAGCAAAACCCTAAATCTCAACCAATTCGATCAATTCATTGAACGACGCCAGGCCCTACACAACAATAAAAAAATGGATACTGCAGAAGAAGCAGAAGGAAAACAGGGAAGACATTTTCCACTAACGATGTCACAGAGACAGTAACAAATGTCTGTCAGTTACCGGAATGCAGAATACATGTTCTCAGTGACAGTGTGCACTTTTTACTATCTGAAAGACACAGGGCTGAGATTTCTGGTCTGTTCATTTAAGTTTGGAACTTTATTTGCATGTCAGTCTTAAAACTATTTGAAGGGAGAAGCTGGGATTTGGAAGAAGGAATTAAAGACAACGGCATTTTTCTTCCAAATAGGCTGGCAGGAAACAGTGGAATGCAAAGCCTTCGCGTAACAAGAGCCCCACACATACACATCAATGTGCTTGCTAAGGAAGCTAGACAACGTCCTTACAAACGGGCAGAAGAAATCTTCCTTCTGTCTTAAGATAATAGCTTGGCCCGGTGTGCAGTGGCTCAAGCCTGTAATCCCAGCACTTTGGGAGGCCAAGGCGGGGTGGATCACGAGGTCAAGAGATTGAGACCATCCTGGTCAACATGGTGAAACCCCGTCTCTACTAAAAATACCAAAAATTAGCTGGCACAGTGGCATGCACCTGTAATCCCCAGCTACTCAGGAGGCTGAGCAGGAGAATTGCCTGAACCCAGGAGGTGGAGGTTGCGGTGAGTCGAGATCGCACCATTGCACTCCAGCCTGGGTAACAAGAGCGAAACTCCGTCTCAAAAAAAAAAAAAGATAATAGCTTGTTCTAAACATCTTTCCCCGAGTTGAAAGAGCAGTCAGCAAGACATCAATTTTTTTTTTTTGAGATGGAGTTTCACTCTTGCTGCCCAGGATGGAGTGCAATGGCTTGATCTCAGCTCACCGCAACGTCTGCCTCCTGGATCCAAGCGGTTCTCCTGACTCAGCCTCCTGAGTAGCTGGAATTGCAGGCATGCACCACCATGCCCAGCTAATTTTTTTTTTTTTTTTTTAAAGTAAGGACTTGGTTTCTCCATGTTGGTCAGGCTAGTCTCAAACTCTCAACCTCAGGTGATCTTCTCAGCCTCCCGAAGTGCTGGGATGACATGTGTGAAATGCCCGCACCTGGGGAGACACTAACTTTCTAAAAGTCTCTATCTTTAAAATTCAAGGCCAAGTGCCGTGGCTCACGCCTGTCATCCCGACACTTTGTGAGGCCGAGGTGGGCAGATCACTTGAGGTCAGGAGTTACAGACAACTCTGGCCAACATGGTGAAAAGCCCCGTCTCTATTAAAATACCAAGAAAATTAGTGGGGCATGGTGGCGCATGCCTGTAGTCCCAGCTACTCAGGAGGCTGAGGCAGGAGAATTGTTTGAACCTGGGAGGCGGAGGTTGCAGTGAGTCGAAACCACACCACTACACTCCAGCCTGGGTGACAGAGAGAGACTCCATCTCCACACACACACACACACACACAAATTAGAATACTTTAGATCATTTCATTAAAATACATCTCAATTTGATGGCTCCTATTAAAAACAATGCTGCATCTCTCAGGCAAAAGGTTCCAGCTTATGCACAAATAAGAGAAAGAAAGCATGCATATATATATATATACACACACACACACACATACGTTTCTTTCTTGTCATTTTCAAAGTGGTTCTGATGGCAAAATGCCTGCCCTTTCACCCTGAGAAGCTTCTCACGAATTAAAGAGACTCCTCTTGACCACGTTTGCCACCTGGTTGGAGGATTTTTAGAAAGTGACAGCAGGCTGGGTGCGCTAGTTTATGCCTGGGATCCCAGCACTTTGGGAGGCCCAGGTGGGAGGATCGGTTGAACTCACGATGGCCAAAATAGTGAGGACCCTATCTGGGCAACCTGGTGAGATCTTGTCTCTACAGAATAAAAAACAAATCGGCCAGGCATGGTGCTGCACGCCTGTGGTCCCAGCTAATCAGGTCAGGAGGCTGAGGCTGCAATGGTTACGGTCATGCCACTGCACTTGAGCCTGGGCGACAGTGAGACCCCGTCTCTGCCAACGAAACAACAGTTTACAGCGAAACTTGACAAGCAATATTTCAGGAGATCGACTTTTAATTCCGGTGCACAGGAGCCAGCTGTGGACTTCCTGATGATGCACCAATGGTGTGCTACAGTCTCACTGTGTCACGGGGCAGGAGTGCAATGGCAACGGTCTTGGCTCCCCGCAACCTGCGCCTCCTGGGTTCACGTGACTGTCCTGCCTCAGCCTCCCGAGTAGCTGGGATTACAGGTACCCGCCACCACACCCAGCTAATTTTGTGTTTTCAGTAGAGATGAGGTTTCACCATGTTGGCCAGGCTGGTCTCAAACTCCTGGGAAAACTTCCTCAATCTTTTATTAAGAGAGACTTAGGCACATATACATCTTCTCTGGAGCCCCAGGCCCTAGGCAGTTGATACATTCATCGTCTCTTGAAAGAATCCCTTGAAAGCAACAAGACACGAAGGAACACATTCAAAGCCAAGCAACCAACTTGAGAACGTGAGCAGAACGGCAAGATGGGAGCAGGTAGAGAAAACACAATAGGAACCCTCGCCGCCTGTGCGAGCCGCCACTCCCCGTCCTCCTTACCAGGCTGGCTCTGCGCTGGTGTTCCGGTGACTCTCCATGTCCACCTCCCCTTGTTCTGCTGAAAACAAGAAGAAAACACGCAAAGAGGCTCAGTGCAACAGAGCACCCACTCAGAATGCACACCAGACACCCGGGCTTTCCTGAGACTGATGCTCCTAGAGCTTGGGCTGGAGTGATCAGTCCTAAACCCCAAACCCACTGGAAACATTGAGTCTAACGCTCACCTAAGTGATGACTTTGCCAGTATTTTGTTTTTTGCCTCACTGCATATGTTTTTACTTATTTATTTACTTATTTTACTTGAAGTTCTGGGATACATGTGCATAACGTGCAGGTGTGTTACACAGGTATACACGTGCCATGATGGTTTGCTGCACCCATCAACCCGTCATCTACATTAGGTATTTCTCCTAATGCTCTCCCTCCCCAGTCCCCCCAACCCCCTGCGATCCCTCCCCTAACCCCCAACCCCCAATAGGCCCCGGTGTGTGATGCTCCCCTCCCTGTGTCCGTGTGTTCTCATTGTTCAACTTCCACTAATGAGTGAGAACATGCAGTTTTTGGTTTTCTGTTCTTTGTGTCAGTTTGCTGAGAATGATGGTTTCCAGCTTCATCCATGTTCCTGCAAAGGACATGAACTCATCCTTTTTTATGGCTGCACAGTATTCCATGTGCCACATTTTCTTTATCCAGTCTATCAATGATGGGCATTTGGGTTGGTTCCAAGTGTTTGCTATTGTGAACAGTGCCTTGATGAACATACATGTGTGTGTGTCTTTATAGTAGAATCAGTTACAATCCTCTGGGTATATACTCAGTAATGGGATTGCTGGGTCAACAGTATCTTATCATGGACGGTACAGGCAGAGATGAACTTCACTAGAGTAATACAAGCAGTTTTATTTTCCTCTATTTTCAGGGTTTCTTTCCTCTCTCTAAACTCTGAGGAAATGGCACATGGAAGCCATCATTGTCAAAAAAAAAAAAAAACAAGAGCATGCATCTATGAAAGTATGATTCCGACTTATAACTGCCCCCTGACTCATCAAACATGCAGTTGGCTGGGTGTGGAGGCTCGCGCCTGTAATCCCAGCACTTTGAGAGGTTGAGGCAGGTGAATCACTTGAGGTCAGGAGTTCGAGATCAGCCTGGCCAAAATGGTGAAACCCCATCTCTACTAAAAATACGGGCACGTGTAATCCCAGCTACTAGAGAGGCTGAGGCAGGAGAGGTCGTTTGAACCTGGGAGGCAGAGGCTGCAGTGAGCTAAGATCACACCACTGTACTCCAGACTGGGTGACAGATTTATTTATTTAAAATAAATTTATTTATATTAAATACAATAAATAAATTTATTTATTTTTTAAATAATAAATAAATATATTTATTTTAAACAAATTATTTATTTTAAAATAAAAATTTAAATAAATAAATGCAGAGAATCTCAGCAGATTGGATCTTTTTGGTACCTGGGAAAAGGACGTTTTTTCCTTTGTGCCCCGATCATCCTTCTGAGGTGAATCAGCTCTCCTAGCCTCCCTTCCACCTTCCCCAGAACGCAGAGTGAGGGGAGAGAGGCCTCAGATCACTAAGAGCTGCTCCGGCCATCAGAGGTCAAGAGAGCCAAGGGGTCTCATGTACCTGGTTTTCTTCCTCCTCCAGCATGTTTCCCCAGTACTGCTTCTATTTCCACATTTCTTTGTAAAAGTGTTTCAGACACGCCGCAGCGCAAACAGGCTGGTCTCCCCACACACTGTTGGCACAGCTTCCCTTCCGACGCACAGGATAAGCCAACAGTCTTAGAAATGCGCAAGAGAGGCACAGATCCATAGACATTTATTTCTTTCCAGAGCTGGTGTGAAGGAACACTCACGCTTTCAGCATGAAGGGAAACAGCAGGAGCTCATGGAATCCGTGGCCGTGAGCATCCCCCTCGCCAAGAAGGTTATATGTGTAAAACAGCCCCGTCTGTGGTTCAAATGCCTTCGTAAAGGAACACGGCCGCATGGCGCAGCAGCGTAACTTATAACGACAGCAGCAGGGGGTGCCCTGAATTTATACGACATGAACGTGGGGGTCTGCAGCCCTTCTCTCCTCATCACTAAACGCTGCCCACATAAAGCGGCCAAAGTTCTAAGATTTAAGAAAAAAGAGAGAGGAAAAAACCCCCAAAGAGGAGAACATTCCACACGACCTGAAAATGTTCACCCCGAATGTCGTTCCTTCTGCAGGTGCCAAGTGTCAACATGGATGCACTTGGGAGCAAACTGTCCTGGCTAGAAATGGAAAACCTGCATTCATTTCAGAGGACAAAGAATTTCTCCCTCCCTCCTCAGTGGTTAAAAAGCAAAAAGATTCTTTTTATTCTTGTGCTATTATAAAACACTACATAAAAGCGGGCAACTTCTAACAGGGAAAAAGTCCTTTGAGAAGTATAAAGTCTCAGGCCAGGTGGTGGCTCACTCCTGTAATCCCAGCACTTTGGGAGGCCGAGGTGGGTGGGTCACAAGTCAAGAGGTGGAGACCGTCCTGGCCAACATGGTGAAACCCATCTCTACTAAATATACATAAAAGTAGCTGGGCGTGGTGG